AAGGAAGGAGGTTTGAGCGTGAATTCTCTCGCTTACATGATCAATCAAAATTTATGCGATTTCCAAGATCCTTAGATATAAGTATAAATTAAAACGGAAAAAAGAGTATTGCTGTAATCAAATATTTGTAATTTCACCAGAAAAATCACAAAGCATTGATTTATTGGTCTAATGTTTAAACTGTAGGTGGTAGTCAACTCGAATCAATATGACTTCGAACTTAATGGAGAAACGCTGGGTTTTCGTCSCACGATCTTTTCTCTTTTAATTAGATTAATGTTGTAGATTTCCGGCGAGAGCTTTACTAGTTATGTATGAAACAAAAGGGCCCAGTCATAGCTATCTGAATGTGAATTCAACACGCCGTCAATTGCTGCTGTGTGCGGTTGGCACCTGTTAGTTCGGTTCGCGCTGTTGTTTGACTTAGAGTTCGACCGAACAAACCTATTCTGTCAAATCGCTTCGCTTTAAGTATTCATARATTGGTGGTTCATAAAATAAGCCATCTCCAGGGATTTGCTGATGAATGTTTGGTGTCAATGGAGCAGGTATTTCAACCCTTTTCCAATTGATTCCGATGAAAATAAAAACTTTAATCTGCAATAATCCTGGATCGATTGTATGAGACGATTTAAGGTAAGCTGAAAAACTTTGAACTGGAATTCGACTTTTTCAACTTGAAAATCCGAATAAGAACGTTCTTTTGTKGRTGCTTTTTWTTCAACGGAATTCCCCCAGAATCGAGCTAAAAGCCACCATGGCGCATGCGCTAAAGATAACTAGTCGAATTAGTTGTTTRTTTTCCAGCAAAAATTAAACCAAATTYTTCGCTGATTYATTTTGATCTMACAAATCTTGTTTGAAAATTCAAAGTTTATTTGAGAAGAGTACGAAATAGGGACAAAAAATACAATTAACTTATGTTTCGATTATGTTCTACAGCATCGTGCTGCCTAGAATTGTACTGACGTATTAATAAAAATCGAATGATTGAGGTTAATTTAGAATCTAATCTATTTTTATCAGCATATAAATTCTCTCGGAATGAAATTCTTATTTTTTTTTGTGTAATTTCTTTTTAATCAGTTAAGAAAAAGAATCCGTAAATACCTAAATATGTTTAATTCCCCGCATCGCAAACCTTTCCAAAATKTCAATAATTGCAATTTAAAATAATTCCTGCTCTTGACGGACGATAAAATCAACWTTTCACTGATTTTTGTTTCATGCAATCACCCATTTATTGATTATTTCATTGAAATATAAGCCAGCCTGTCCAACTKAAAAAACTGTCCTTTGAATTATAAAAAATGTTTGTTATGTAAGAGTCAAAGAGATTCCTCTTCTTCATTATTAATATTTTCCYGTCTCAAAATTTTTTCRCATTTTATAATTTATTTTACAATTAGTACATTTACCCAAACTATTGTTTTTAGCTATTAGTTCTCGTTAAAGAAGGGAATGTACCACACAACAAAGTAAATCGGAACCCTTTGAATCGATAAGCGAGGATAATAATTCTAAATTGAGCTTGCAAATATTTTATATAAAACTCAGCGTCGCACGAGAGCGCTCCTTATTAAACGTTCTAGAAGCTTTAATCAGTAAAATTCGAATCTTTGAAGTATTAAACGATACTATCTGATGTACAAAGTCGCCGTACTTGAAATAAGTCGTTGATTCATATGATTATTTAGCTTTTGTTCGGCGATAACCCAAGTAAAACACTCCTCCATTCACAGTTAGGTTCTTGGCAAAAGCGTTTTCCAGTGAAACTAACTATAACAAGGAATACTAATATATTCATATTGATAAAAACAAAAAAATCCTTTTAATATCGGCGCAATTGAACAATGGTCTATAAAGCATGCAGTGCCAAGGTATGAAACCTCCTACTTTGGCGATTTTGACAGCAAGTAATACCAATTGTTCACCSAAAACGTTACTCTAATTGGCGATCATTTGTAGTCACCCCGACTGAGAGTTTTAAATATAAATYTTTCATGATCGCCATCTTGCTGAGTTAATGTCTAAGAGCCACTACAATGACTAGCTAGCTGGTTATCTTAAACGAGCTCAGCGCGTGACCTCATTCAAATCGGACATGCACTTGGGAGTAAAAACGATTTCGACTGATCCAAACTTCTCGAGATGGCGTCCACTGTAAGTTTACTTCAATAATATGAATATTATCCGAGATACATTTGCTAGAATGGTAACCTATTATTCAATATAGCTGCATGGTGCTATCATCGTTACATGAATTGAAAGGCTGGAGTAATTATCGAATGAAAAAACATGTTTTCGTTCTTATCCAGCGCACGAAATGACACGATATCACATTTACTATAACAACGTGTATACAATCAGTGTAGGTTGAATTTTGGCATAGAAAAAATATTAAACTCGACAATTATTTTGTTGTGAGATTAAAGCTCAAATAAYAATCGCTAATTGTGTTTTAAAATTTCCCATCACTCAAAACATACTAAATTAAATCACGTTATTTACTTTGAGGGCTAAAAATCGTCAATATTTTGGGTGCAAAACTTTATWGTACAATAACGCAAACATGGATTTGTTTTTTTCTTAAATTGAGCACAGAGGGAAATAGTGACATTTGACTATCAATCGCTTACAAAGCCARCGTCGTTTTTAATTAACAATTACAAATATACCAGTTTTCTTTATTGTTTTTTATCATATTSAAAGCAGTGTTCAAATGGCACTATTGTTCGACCACAAAACACTTATGCTATAGATTATATAATTCCKCAGTTCAATAGGGTTTTAATTATTTATTCGTTGACGTGATTTATCAAGACTTTATTAMCACAAACTGAGTTTCAAACTACAGCAAATTTGAGAAAGGTTGTCCAGAGAAAATGGCGAAAGGAAATTTTTGAAGATTGAGAAGAAGATTGCACCGCCGAAAGGAATTGTGGTCAAATAGTATTTGTATTTTGGTTCATAGTGATTCGTCCCATGATACACTCACTAGTACATTTTACAATACGCTAAGATAGAAAAGATGGGAAAAGRAGAATCCCCAAATGGG